GTTTTCCAAAATCCATGAGCAAGCCACTGCCTCTGAATCAGTTCCTTCCTCTAAACTGCAGTTCTGCTTCTGTGTGACCACAAAGTTAAATTAGATACCACCGCACTGCAGTATGGCTCCACTCCCATCCCACCCCACAGTAATAAACTGGTCTGTCATGCTGAATTCGTGATCCGCATGTAGAAAGTGGAAATACAGTTCTGGTTAGTTAGCCTGCTCAAATATGACACACCTTTGGCTTAGGAACTCCTTGGGAGATCAGAGCACTGGGTCCACAAAATGCAACAATCAGACATGAAAGCACACCAGTTCCTCCTATTGTTTCGTGGGGTTTTGATAAGCCCTGGCACTCTGTGGTCGCCTGCCTTAACGGAAGGGTGAATGAATATGTGCTCCCAAAACAAGCACTTGAAATACAAATATTGATAGTGTGCTCTAGTCCACACAGGAAGGCAAACATCTTGTTCCTTCAAAAATGCCTGTCTGCCTTTACGGCACCTCTGCCTACTTGCCCAGCTCAGTGATGTAGTGAGCAGCATCTCCGCCAGAATGAACTCCACGAAGGATCAGGAGGGAGCTTGCTCATCTGGGCCACAGACAGTCTGTGGCTCTACCTGACTTTAACTCTTCTACTTTCATTTTCACCAGATGATCCTCAAACTGCCCTCGATTTACTCAAATTCTGGCCCTCCAAAGTCCACAGAAAGTTTCTGGCCTTTTATAAAAACTTATGGATGGCCTTGCTCCTTAATTGCAGCCTCCTTTGGTGCAGAACAGCACAGCTTTGAAGTCTGAATTTCTGAGTAAGACAAGATCCGTGTGCTTGACCCAAAGCTGTGGTGATCGTACCCTAGAGAACAAGACTGGAATCAGAAGTCTTCATGGACACCATCCTCTGAAATCATATGGAAGGTGAGAACAAAGACTTAGGAGCAGGCTGGATGACACAGGAGACATGTAAGAAGAAAAGGCAGGGATGATCCTTTGCTTGCATTCAACAATTGTGGAGAAAATGATTTGCCACAGCTTTGTCTTGTCTCTTTGTGGCTGTCTACCAGCATTCCCATAAACCAGGAAGTCCAAAGCCAAAGTGCCAGCTGAAGCTCTGGTGGGACTCTATTTTGCTTCTAGAAAGCCATCATGGAGTCCTCCAGCCTTACTTCCTAATCCCAGCATATTATGGTAGGATTTCAACACATGAATCTGAAAGTAATATCAACATCCAGTCTGTAACAGTGTCCCTTTATTTTCCCTCTGTCTGGCCTTGCTAATTGAGGACCTCTGAGTATTGTAGTAGGAACTGTACCTGAGGATGAGGAGTGAGGTTCCATTAACAGTGGTAATGTCTTCTCTTGAACAAACATCATCCAAAAGATTAGTCTTGGCAGCTTTAGGTTGTGTTTTATTTTTATTTTTGCTGTTTGCCGGGTTTTGTGTGTGTGTGTGTGTGTGTGTGTGTGTGTGTGTGTGTGTGTGTGTGTGTGTTTAGTATTTTTAAACCCATTGACAGGACAGAGCAAAGGAGATGCCTCAGACTCCCACCCTGAACTCTGTTGGTGGAGCTATGGGCTGAAACCAAACAGATTATGGTTTGAATCCCCTGAACCTCCATCCACACCTCTTGCTACCTTGAGTCTGGGCTCTTAAACACATCCCCAACTCGAAGGCACACCTGGAGCATGAACCTAGCGGGAAGGTTGACTTTGCCCTGGCCCTTTCTGTGCAATCTGTGTCTGGGGGGAATTTCCACTGTACCAGGAGGAGCCTCTCCAAACTTGTAGGGACCAACGTCCACCCTCAGGCCTCTGAAAGGTTACTAGCTCCTGGCCTGGGTATGGCTCCTAGGGCAGTAGAAGCCTATTTAACGTCTATATTGCTGTAATAAAATACTGGCCAAAGAGGCAGGCGGATCTCTGTGAGTTTGAGGCCAACCTGGTCTACAGAGTGAGTTCCAGGAAAAGCGAAAAGCTACACAGAGAAACCCTGTCTCGAAAAACCAAAAAAAAAAAAAACTGGCCAAAAGCAACCCAAGAAGGAAAGGGTTTATTTCATCTTGAAGGGTAACAGTCCATCATTGAGAGAAGTTAAGTCGGGAACTCCAGCAGGAACTGAAGTAGAAACCACAGGGAAGCCGGGCGGTGGTGATGCACACCTTTAATCCCAGCACTCGGGAGGCAGAGCCAGGCAGATCTCTGTGAGTTGGAGGCCAACCTGGTCTACAGAGTGAGATTCAGGCCAGACACCAAAACTACACAGAGAAATCCTGTCTCGAAAAATGAAAAGAAAAGAAAAGAAGAAAAAAGAAAAGAAAAGAAAAGAAAAACCACAGGGGAAAGCTGTTTACTGGCTTGCTTTCTGGAGTGTTTTTTTTTTTTTTAGCTCGCTTTCTTATACAGTGCTGAACTGCTGAACCATGCACCCAGGGGTGGCACTATTCACATTGGCTGGGCCTGAGCCTTCCCACATCAATCATCAATTAAGAAAATGCCCCGCACCAATCCAATAGAGGCAATTCCCCAATTGAGATCCCCTTTTCCTAGGTAACTGTAGTTTGTGTTACGTTGACAAAAACTAGCTAGCCCGAGGAGATCCCAGGCCTGCAGTCCCTGACCTCTGCTCCTGTAACAATGTCGTCTGTTTGGCGACTCCCTCCAGCAACAGGGACTCCTACCTCCAGATACTCAGGACTTTTCCACTTCTCAGCCACAGCCTGTGTCTTCCTATACCTGCCTGACACTTGTAAGCTTTTTTTTAACCTATAATGAAATGTTTTATAGTTTGTTTCTATTTCTTTAGAGCAGCATATGGGGATGCATCCATAGTTGAGGCTACAGCTTGCCCATCAATCCTTCAGACTAGAAACACTAGAAATGATTTTATAATTGTGTCAAAGATCATTGAGTTTTTTTATGTTCACCTAATTAATCTTGTCTAGAACACGCAGAGTGTTCTGCATGAGAGACAGGTTTCTTGTCAATTACTTTACAATAACTAACAAGCATGTGCACACCCACATACACTCAGGTGTGGTAATGAGGGCCAGGCAAGATGTTTTACATGACAACTAGAAACTCCAGTTTGACAAGTAATAAGTGACTTCTCTCTTTTCCTAACAGGAAGGTCAGGTTCTTAACACTGCTGAAATAGTGTTCTTGGAGATAATGAATCTGATTGTTTGCTTCTTATGTAACAGAGCTACTTCCAGGGGGCAGGTGGTCTTAACTGCCTGTGATTTTATGACCTGGGATGTCTTCTATGTTTCTTCTTCAGAGTACTATCATATCCAGGCAGCTTGAGGCCTGACCTAATGACATGGTCTGTGATGCAACTATTGGTATTTCTCAGGCTTATTTGTGATCATCAGTCCATGTCATAGCCACTAAGTAGGTTAATTGGTTTGATTCTCAGATCAGGGCCATCATCATCACATGCAGGCTAAAATATCAAATGGCAAGAGAAGTGCCATCTTCTATAAAAGCAAATCAATTAGAATAACTGCAGATTTCCCAACAGAAAGTAAAAGTCAGGTGTATGTCAAGCTCTGAAACAGCAGTTGCCAACTTGGATCTCTGCATTCAGCAGAATGGTCCATTATAGCCAAAGAATGAAGACACATTTCCACAACAGATGCAAACTGCAGTAACTCATGAGCACCGTGACAGTAATAGAGATGACACCTGAAGGGGTCTCACACGGAGAAAAGAAAGTTGAACACAATCGTGAAGCCACAGGAAAGAACAAACTACATAAACCGAAACAGTAAGTAAAGAAATAAAGAATAAGAAAAAAATGACAGGAATTAAAATGCACCTTTCAACAATAACAATGCTAATTATCACAATTATCCAATAAAAAGACTAGCAGATTCAATTACAAATAAGACATATCTACTTGTTAGAAGAAACCCCACTAACAAGAAAGAGTCCTGGAAAACGCAGGGCTAATGGGAACAGATGGAGAGGCATTCTAAACAAATGGAACAGGAACCATCGGGGTAGTTACACTGACATTAACAAGGTAAGCTGCACACCAAAGATACTCAGAAGAGTTGTTTTGTTTTCAAAGGACATTTCATTTTCACTAAGGAAACAAATCAATAAGAGAAGAATTCTAAACATAGGTGCACTGAACATCAGTACATCCTATTTCATAAGCAACTACTTCTGGATGTAAATACATAGATCAACACAATAGTAGTAGATGACTTTAATACCCTGATCTCACTAAAGGACAGATCAGATCACCCAGACAAAATAAGAACACAGATAATAGATAGTATGAATTTGACAGACAACTACACACTATTATACCCAAACACTGCAGTTCACATTATTTCTCAGCTGTCCATGAGACTTTACCTGAAATTAACCACATTTAGTACACAAATAAGTATTTACTTCTGATAGTAAAAGAAACAATTAACCGAGTGGAAAGATTGCCTGACAGAGAATTCATTTCTAGAATATAAAAAAGAACTCTAAAACTAAATACCCAAAACCCTCAGACAATCCAGTCAGTAAACAGTCTAATGAAATAGTTCTCAAAAGATGAAGTACAAATGGCCTATAAAAATATTTTAAAATGTCTGGTGTGGTGGTGCACATCTTTAATCACAGTAGCACTCAGGAGACATGGGCAGGCAGACCTCTGTGAGTTTAAGGCCATTTAGGACTAAATAGTGAGACTTTGTCTCAAAATAAAGTAAATAAATAAAATAAAAGTATGAAAACTGTTCAACATCTTTAACCACCAGAGAAATTCAAACTGCACTGACATTCAGTCTCTCAATAGTGAGAACAACCATCATTAAGAGAACAAACAACCAATGCTGGTGAGGATACAGGGAAAGGAACCCTTGGATGCTGCTAGTGGAAAGATATATTGGTCCAACCACTACAGAAATCAGTATGGAGGTTCCTCGGAACAGTAAAAGCAGATCTCCCTTAGGACTCAACCATACCATTCATGGGTGTTTACTCAAAAGACTCCAAGTCAACATATCAGGTATTGCACATACATGTTTATTTCAGTATTATTTATAACAATCAAGATATTTCATCAGTCTTGGTATCAGTCAACAGATGAACGGATAAAAAAATGTGATATGTGTGTATGTATATGTACTATATGTACACACAGTACAGTTTTATTCATCTATAAAACAGAATAAAGTTATGACATTTGCTAGAAAACAAATGCACTGGAGATCATTGTATTGCATGAAATAAGCCAGACTTAACATATATCTTATGTAAAATTTGGAGTATATATAAATTGATAAAAATAATTTATATGCGTATAACATGAATAAAAAACATGGAATAAAAGACAAGTGATAGGAGGTGGTGATATTGGGTAAATGTGGTTAAAGTACATAATATATTTGAAAGAAACTGTCTTTATAAAATCAATTACTATGTACAATGAACATAAGAAATAAAAGAAAAATTTAAAGGGAAGATTCTGACTGCATTTTTTAGTTAGCATTTCTTTGCTCTGGTTAAATGACAAACCGTTTAAAAGAAGCAAAAACTTATTCTGACCCCGGGAAAGGTACAGCCTTCAAGGACAGGTCCTCAGTACTGACCTGCCTTCATATTGGCTCCATCTTCTCGGTTCCCACCTCCTTTCAATAGCTCGTTCATTTGCAAACTCATCAGCAGATGAATCCACTGATGAGATTAATGTCCTCATGACTCACCAGCTAAGGATCAGGCCTTCCACACACAGGCTTTTAGGGATGTTTTAACCTTGTAACCATATATCCTGCCTCTGAACAACCCAAATTGCTGCTGTACTCGGTTCTCCTGGGGCATGTGCTACCAGCAGAAACACACCTACCAGGTCCCTCTGCAGTCTACACAGTATAACCAACACACTGCCTGATTGATGTTAGTTAACTAAAAGTTAGCAGAGTAACTAACAACTCAGTAGTTAGGACAACTCAGAAACAACTTCTCAAAGTTCAAATGATGGCTAGTTGACAGTGATCAAACTCTAATGTCCTTCCTTTTCCTCCACAACCCAAATGTGAGCACCTGATAATGCCAGTGATATAATGACAAGAAAAAGTGGGTTAATTAGGTGTGTGACCATCTATGATAATATCACTTTTTTCTTTTTCCAGAGTTGAGTATGGAATCCACAAGGGGATCACTTTTTTCAGTGAGGAAGACATTTAAACTTCTAAATATATGAATGTTATAATGCACAGGGCTTAAATTAAGCCCAAGAATTGTACAGCAGAAATACACTTAGAAAGACCGGCCCTGTGTGATACTGTATCATAGTACAGTATTTGAAATCATTGAACAAGCTGTATCATAGCTGTTCATTCTCCACTGCTCTCTGAGCCCCAAGGCTACTCAGACAACGTGAAACAAAACACAACCCTCACTTACCACACAGAGAGATTCCCAATAGTTATAAATACCTTTGACTCAGCTGTCCCAGAGTAGCCAGAGGGTAAGTGTCGGTATTTATCCCAGAGCTTGGGACAGCCTTGTTTGCAGAAGTGAGTGAAAGTGTTACTGTGGGTGAGGAGTCACAGTTTGAAGAGGCACGTCCTTCACGTACACAGTGCTTATTCCTGTAGATCTGCACACACTAGAATAAACAGTAGAGTGAGTACTTCCACAAGATGAGTATAGTTGTCTATTTAAATGAAGTAGCATGATTCTGAAAACCGACGTGAATCTACCCGGAGAGACCGAATAGCTGCTGTTGTGTAAGGATAAATCATCTCTAAGCCACTGGAGTTTGACAAAACTAGATTCGTTGCCTTTCAGAACAGCAGCGGCATCTTTTGCCGCATAAATACACCATTCTTCTCCTGCAATTTATTTTCCCGAATAGCACAAGCCTGTGACACATGACAGGTAAGCCAGAAGCAACACTTCCCCACACTCTGGAGAAAACCTTCTTCAGCCATTTTGAAGCAACTATAGAAGTAATGAGTTTAGGCAAACTTCCAGCTGGGATAACTTCTGGTTGGCTAAGACACTGTACAGCAGCCCAGCGTGGCTTTCCATTCTCTTGAGGAGGAGACCACCTTAGTGACTGATCCTAATACAAGTTCTGATCATAGATGGGTCCCTGTTATGCTGGCCTGGCCTTGCTCTTGTGTGTTCTTAGGGAATCCTTGTGTCGTCCCTTGGTCTTCAGAAACATGTCCATCTATATGCCACAACGATGCTGCTTCTCCTCTTGTTTAATAGATTGCTTTGCTATGATTCTCCAGTGTCTCATCTTGAAGAGTTCCAGGGACCCTTGGTCACACATCCTTCAGAAATCACCCCATCGAAATGGATCCACAATTCCCCACTTCTAACAGAGGAGCCATTTGATGACTTCTAAGGAAGGGAAGTCCGTTTTCTTCAAGGGTGTGACCCTAGTAGGTCAACTATCCTCCATACTCAGTAGTATATAGGCCTCAAAAATTGGATTCAATGGATAATATTTTTTTCTAATTTTAGAAGATAACACAAAGTTGGGGGAGGTAGGGAGGCAGAGGTAGATCTGGAGGAATTGTGGGAAGGGGAAAATACATTTGATCAAAATACACTCTGTTGAATTCTCCAATAATTAATAAAAATATTACATTAAAAAAGACATTAGAAAAAAATTTTTAAAGAAAATGACTCAGGGGCTGGAGAGATGCCTTAAAGGTTAAGAGCCCTGGCTGCTTTTCCAGAAGAACCAGGTTCCATTCCCAGCACCCACACAGCAACTCACAACCATCTACAACTCCAGCTTCAGGGGATCCAATGCTCTCTTGTGACCTCCTTGGGTATTGCATGCATGCTATACACAGACATACAAACACACAAAATAGCCATGTACATAAAATAAAAATAAAGAAAAAATTTAAGAGAAAAATATATATCACAACAGTATGTGTGTAAGACACATTTAAATAAGGATTTGTTTTGTATTTCCAGTCTCCTGGAGTAATTAGTTCACAATAATTCTACATCTTGGGACCCGGCTCTGACCATACAAGATGGTTCAGTGATTGAGAAAGCAGTGCAGTATGCTTTCTCGCCCGCGTCCTCTCTCTCAGGGACTGGAATGCTGCCCTCTGAGCAGCAAGCCCGGAAGGCATCCTGTCTGGAAGATCTCCTGCTCTGGGGCTTTGGTTTCAACATCACCCATCCTTTTTGTTTTCAAGTGACTTGTAACTTCAAATCCACCCCAGAAGTCACCTTCTGAGGCCTCTCCGGTCATTTTGTTGATCTTGCAATTAACTAGGTTGACTTCCTGATTATTAAACCCATAGCTAAAGGATGAAAGTCTCCACGTTGTGTCACACTTATGACGACACATCAAGAAATCCCACCTCCCTGCCCCTGTTTATCTGTCTAAGCACATTCAAGTTTACACCTGTTCTTGAGATCTCACATGCAAGAAACAATCACAGAAGAGTTTCGGAAGACTGGGTGTGTCGTCAGTCCCTGGGGATCCTGAGATAACTCAGATGACATCATATTTTCCAGCAAAAACACAAAGGCATCATAAAGAGTTTTTCAGTGTACACTTGAATCCATTTTTGTCTGTTTTGATTGCTAGCATTTCTACCTGTTAGTTTGTGATAGACATTTTATTTTATTTTACTGTTGTTGGGGAGGTCTTCTATCTAATTAAGTTTTTAGGTTAGTATAACTAAGTAAGGGTTCCATTATGGCATACATACACATACACACACACACACACACACACACACACACACACACTACGTGTCATTATGCTTTGTTCCTGTGTGTTCACTTCCCTGCTGCTCTCCCCTGTTGCCAGCCTTTTAAAGGAGGCATGCTCATCGGATAATCAGTCATATGTTGTGGGTAGCTTGGGGCTGCATCCTACCCATGACTGCTCTCTCGACATCGAGGGATTCTGCCAGAGCACAATACCAGGAACAGATTTTTCTATAACTAAGGATGCCTGTGTTCTGTCTTCCTTTGGCTGCCTTTGAAAAGCATTTGGATTGTCTGTTTGATTAGAAATAATTTGCCCTGATTTCATATTTTGTCCTTCCAAAACAAACAGCTTCCAGTAGCATAGGGAGTTTTCTCATGAATTTCTGTGTATCTAGTTTTCTATTTCATGTGCTTGGCTCTTTATGCATCTCTATTCATTAAAAAAAAAGTGTAGGTAGCACTCTGTTTATTTTCCCTCCCTGATATGTTATCCAATCACAAGTTGTCAGAGCTAAACACGTGTATAGATGAGCTATATACACTAAACACGTGTATATGTGAGCTATATACACTAAACACGTGTATAGATGAGCTATATACACTAAACATGTGTATATGTGAGCTATATACACTAAACACGTGTATATATGAGCTATATACACTAAACATGTGTGTGTATGAGCTATATACACTAAACACGTGTATATGTGAGCTATATACACTAAACACGTGTATATGTGAGCTATATACACTAAACACGTGTATATATGAGCTATATATACTAAACACGTGTATGAATGAGCTATATACACTAAATGTGTGCATATATGAGCTATATATACTAAACATGTGTATATGTGAGCTATATACACTAAACACGTGTATGTATGAGCTATATACACTAAACACATGTATGTATGAGCTATATACACTAAACACATGTATGTATGAGCTATATACACTAAACACATGTATATATGAGCTATATACAATAAACACGTGTATATATGAGCTATATTCACTAATGGACTCAGAAGGGTGTGGTGGGGCATAGGAAGAGAAGGAGGGAGTGATAGTTATAGAAGTCATGAATCTTCTATAGAGAGGTTGGCGGGGGTGGGGGTGGAGTGAGGTGGTGAGGAACAATGGAAATTATGTAAATACAGTATACTCATATATAAAACTCTAAAAGAAATTATTTTTAAAAAATGAAGAATCTAGACATGGAGAATGCCTTAATCCCAGCTCCTAGGAGGCTGAGTCAGGTAGAGCTCTGTGAGTTCACAGCCAGCCTGGTCTAAAGAGTGAATTCCAGGATATCCAGGGCTATGTTGAGAGATCCTGTCTCAGTGAAATGATAGATACATAGATAGATAGATGATAGATAGATAGATAGATAGATAGATAGATAGATAGATGATAGATAGATAGATGATAGATAGATAGATAGATA